AAACATTTGATTTTGTGTTGAATGAGAGACCCAACGTTGGTTTCAGTTTCGTTTTAACCTAAATTAATTCGTTTTGGCTTGTCGTTTATATTGCTATAGCTTCTTATATTTTTAATTCTTGTTCTTTTCTAAATACTGTTAACTGAAAGGATTTGTTGTGGAGTGAGGGGAACTAAAATAGCCTAGCTATGTTTACAGTGTTTATTATAATGTTTGTAAACATTTCGCGTCGGCATTAGGCCTATTTCTGAATGAAATAATAAAATGCGACTTATACGCGACTTATGTTTTTTACCCCTAAAAAACACATTTTATTTTATACGTGTAGCGTATTTTAACCATGCAGCAAACCGTTTTAAATATTTTGCTAAATTACTGAAAAAATTAATAATTAAATGACTTTTTAAACCGTTTAACATTGTAATAATCGGTCAAAATTACCGATCGGTTAACCGGTTAAAATGAACATCCCTAGAACTAATTCAAACTTGTTTGAGATAAAACTTCTAGTATTTGGAGTTTTGGGAAAGCAAAAATGCACTTCTTTATTTGACTTCATCACTCGTTTCTACAAAATCTAAATCATTAGCCATTAGGACATTTTTCTACATGCACTTAGGAGTGTGTACGTGCATGTTCCGTGCACAAGTATGCGACTCCTCCAACCTTAAGGGTTTTTAGTTATGTGCTGAGCAGGTACAGAAATAGGATTGGAGGAGGAGCCCCATTATTAAGGGGGTTCCACTCTTGACAGATGTCATGGCAACGTCATAAATAGCAGGCCCGAGATAGATCCTGAGCTGGTATTGGTTTACAAAGCCAGGAAAATAAACAAGTGAGGATTTACCAGGTAGAAAAAAAAAGATAAAGGGTGGGAGAGAGGTAAAACAGAGGACGCATAAAGAGCAAGGGTTAAATGTGCTGGGAGGACTGACATGGGATATAAACAGCTTGACAACACTTTAGAGAGCTGACAGTTGCTAATAAATGCATCAAGAAATGCTAAAACATTCTCGAGACTTGCACCGAAAGAGTGATTTAGGGGGTATTAAGGCATTAAGAGCTGCCCTTTTATGTAGTTTTCACCTACGTTTTACACATTTTTCAAAGCTGTGATGAGTACTGACCTGCAATGAATGGGCATAAGAAGTTCACACTTAAAAAAAAAAAGCCATTCATATATAAACAAGTATGTCCATGTATGTGCCAGAGTCTCAGCCAAGATCCCTGAACTAGAGGATGACAAACTGTGCTTTCTTCATCCCCACCATGACGCATGTGCAGAAAAACGGACTAAAGGTAACAGTCAGCTCCAGGAGACACATGATACTGACCCCACAGTTAACTGCAACAAGCCACTCTGTTACTCGCTATCTTTCCTTGGGGCAACAGGTTAGGCAATTACATACTCTTAAAAGTCTTATAGTTAGTATAGTTAAATGTCTTATAGTTGGACATCAGAATAAACCTGTAAAATTAGGAAGGCTTTGAATGGAAATCATCAAGTAAAATACAACAAACAATGTTCTGTAATAATACAGAACAAGTGATTGTTTCTTTTTATACAAGTCAACACATGATAAACCAAGTAAACTAGAATAATTTGAAATTAAATTAGTTCAAAAGATCAGTTACTAGTGACAAATACAGACCTGCAAAATAAAAAATGGTATCCCCATCACTGCTTTTATTAATGATAAATTCCACTTCCACTAAAAAAAGCAGTGTTTCAGTTCATGCACATACCACAGTATTCCAAAGAAGAAATTTGATGTAATGGTTTCTGTTTATGAAGGCTATAATTTTGTGCTTCAGTAATGGTAAAATGGGTTTTCCACTCATATGTTATATAGTATATACCCATTGGAGAATCTGAATAATACACACAAACACACACACATGCACGTTTGTTTTTGTGAATTGTGGGGACATTCCATAGGCGTAATGG